AGTAAACCGATTCCCCTCTCATTATTGAATACTTTAAAAAGATTAAACAATGTCAACATGTATCACAGTGCAGTGAAAAAATGTGGTGGAGCAGAAAGTATATTTGCTAATATATATATAGTGACTTCAGTAAAGTACATGAAAAATATACTTAAGTACAGTAATGAAGTAAATGTACTTTGTTACATCCCATTACGGCACTCATGTAAGTTTTTCACCGAGTGACTCACTCCGAATTAATTTTCAACAAATATTGACTGTATACCTAAAGACAAAAAAGACAGTTAACATGAGAACACAGGATTTGAACTAGGATAGTACTTTACTTTCACTATGACTTTAACTGTCTTGGTTTCACTTGTTTTTTTACTAACTATTGCTATATGTGTGTGTTTGTTTTTAGCTTCTGTAGCTTTTGCCAGTGAAAAACAATTATTCACAAGATTTTTGAGATTCTGCTTTTTTATTCTCTTGAGTTGCGTCAACATTGTTATTTTTAATGTTGTTTGTGTTTTATGCTTTTTAGTGCTTCTTGTACTTTTTAATGCTTCTTTCATTCCAGTAAAGTGCATATAATGACCTCTGTGTATGAAAATGCTCGGTAAAAATAAATCCGCTTTGCCTGTGGCGAGAACTGGAACAAAAAGCCTGAACCACGAAAGCAAAGTGAGAGTCTCGTATGTGTGACCTACAATTACTGTTACACAAGAGGTGGATATAAAACAAACCACACACTCAAGCTTGCACGATAAATATAAACAGATGCACATGCACACACGTACTGCACATGTTCACACGAGGAAACTCACAAAGTTCATTTCATCTTCATCACCCTCAGATGAAGCAACTCATCCGGACATTTTACAGGAACACCACACTGAATCAATAACCACACTTACAGGGGATCCGGGGGAGGAGCTGGCCCTCAAAATTGCTGCAGGTCGAGGAATAAATGTGAGTTATTTTGAAGCCTGATCCTGTTTATCAGCGTTGTCTCAGCAGAGAAAATGCAAGGTAGTTGCAATTATTTACTTGTTTACTTGTACATTTCCACATTTATTTATTAGCTCCTATGCAGAGTGGACCCCGCCACTCACACATTGTCAGCTGGGGTTGCAACCAGTTCCCCCCTAAACCATTAAAAATGATAAGCTGTATAGATAATGGAGGGATGGATTTACTTCAGTGTACAGTTAGTAATTGGAGCATGCATACACTGGAGAGTGTCTGTTTCCCGGCATCAGTCTTGGACCACATCACGTGAACCTATGGCAGCCTTGTGGCATGATTTAGATGCAGCTGTTTTAACATCTGTCAGTGTGACGTGTACCTGCAGGTGGAGACAGAGACCAGAGGACTGATGTGATAAAGACAGAGCTCAGCAACAGATCGTAGACGTACAGTTGACTGCTAGAAGAAACCTTAAAAAAAATCATTCAGTGGGTGAAGACTTTAGTTTTATTTGCTGATCATAAAGATGGGAAATTCAGTGAGTTTGCATGTCTGCCACATTTATTTTTGTCACACTTGTTTGCGTGGACTTTTAGATCACTCTGCATTTCCAACTGCTCCAATAACATAACTTTGAAAACAAGAAAAACAAACCTGATGTTCGGAGTGGTGCTTCTGCTTCTGATGCTTCATCATGTTTTACATTTTGCTAATTTAATCCGCAACAGTTACCAAACTAGAAATGAAAGATAAAAAACTCTCCACCTGCACTCTTAAATTATTAATACATCTTATAAATAATGCATAAAATATTCAATATTATAGGTAGGTTATCAAAAGTTTAAACTTTCAAACACAGGTAAATGTTATTCATTTACAAATGATGAAATAACTTTAAGTTAAACTTGACAAATAAGAAGGATGCAGGTCTGAACACTAATAATACATTTATAATGTCTCTGTAGAAGGATATTGTAAAACCTGATGAACAGCATATATCATTTTGTATCATGCTTTGCATCAATATCAATGCTGTATTGTTCCATGTTTTTATTGTTTAAAAAAATGTCCCGTCAATAAAAATGTGTAAATATTTATTGGTACAACCTGTTAGTAAATTGCAGACTGTCTCAGTTATGTAAATGTGCTTTCAATCTATTTCCCATTCATTAGTATTAGGCTAAAACTTTGATCCCATGCTGGGAACGGTCAGTGGTGCAGGTCCTGACCTTACCCCAAACCAGTTTATCAAGTGTAATCCAAATTGGATTAAAACTGCTCACTATAACAGACAGACACCACAGATTACAGAACACACACCTGCTACTGCGTAGTGCATGTGTATTTTTTTAACAGTCCAAGAGACCTTAGTTCTTGAAAGTTGCTTTAGCTCCAGTTTCTTTTTGGGTTCAAAAATCCATGATAGACTATTGAATATAACAGTAACACTACTTAGGTAACTAGACATCTCTCAGTAGAGCGAATACTTCCCTAAATACAATCAAGCTGCAACAAATTGCTCACATTCACAGTAGACCCATACATGTCTGATTTCTCATCAAGATCCATCAGATATTCTCAGAGAAATCTGGGAAAAACACAGCACCAGAATGAAATGGGATCTTCCATTATACATCCATCTACCAAGCTTGCTGGTGATTTGTCAAGCAGTTTTTGTAAATTCCTGCCGACTAACATAGAACAAACAAACACATATAAAACATAACTTCCTTGGCAAACGTAATGTTAAGTAATAATGTACATGACACATTCGTTAATGTTGTTGATAATTGTGAATTAATCTTAGCATGGGAAAATGGAGATTAGTGAAAAACAAAAGAACAGAGTAAGCAATTGACTGTTGAACAATCAAATAAATTATGCTGAAGAGTAAAATAAGTATGTTTTATTAAAGTTACTAGTTATTATAGTTTTTATGTATTTAAAAAAAATTATATTAACTTTTTTCCCCTGCCACATGGTGTAGTAAAGGGTTTACTTTATCATCTGCAGGGGTGTTTTTCTTTCAGTTCGTGTATGGCTCCTCTTTCCACAACAACCCCACTGAACCCCAGGCTAAATTACTACCCTCTACTTTAGTAGAGTTGTATAAATAGAATATATGAATTTATATACACAAACTGCTTAGATTTCCAGGACAGGAAGGAAAAGAGATTAAGGCATTTTTCAGGTGCCTTCCTGGATCCATGGCGACCACAGCTTTGATGTAACACAATGCACCTCATGAAATACACATGTCACATGCCCCGACTGATCCGGGCATCTGAAGGTAACAGTAAACAAGCTGCATGCAGCCATAGCTTCACAGCTTCACACACTCGCAACACGTTCCTACCAAGGCTAGATGAGATACTGTGACTCCTGTGACTCGTCTTTCCAGGACATCGTCTCAGCTGCATCTCTGCAGGGAGGTGTTGAAGCACTTTGTGCCAGGGCTGGATTGATTCCTGTCTTCTCCTGTCCACACTTTAAAATGCTCTATATGCTGAAGCCAAAAGTTACATTTGAGTGAGTGAGTAGCTGAATGAGGGGCACACTATAAAATGCTTTGAATAAAAATGCAATAAAATACATTTATGTGTCTTATATACTACTATAAAAAGGAAATGATTATTTAAAGATATATATATATATCAATAGATACCCTGTACCCTGCACTCATAAAAATACATACTTCTTAAAGGTACAGTGTGTAGAATTGAGTGACATCTAGTGGTGAAGTTGCATGTTGCAGCTGAATGCCCCTCACCCTCCTCTTCCAAACATCAAAGAGAACATGTGGAAACCTTCAGTTGTCATAAAAACTCAAAAGGTTTTTAGTTTTTCTAGTTTGGACTAATGTAAAAAACACGGCAGCCTCCGTCAAGAGGAGCTGCTCCTAATATATAATATAATATAAAGTATTTAAATATATAAACATTCTAGGGTAAAAAAAACAAAACAATTGGTACAATTTAGATGAAACACATTAGTGAAAACATCACAAAGACTGTTTTACATTCACTTTCTGCCAGCACTTTCTGCCAGTACATCAGATTCAATTAAATCTTACCCACTGAACATTTAAATATTAGGCTAAATGTTTTTTTGAGTATGTGGAGGTAGCAGTTTAATGCTACTTTGAAAAAACAAAAAAAGCTTGTTTCAGTTATTATTGTACACATCAATATCTCTCTGGTGACGTCACCTCTACTCTTCCAGGAGTCAAATATATCTATATTACCCATAAGTGTAACCTCATTATCTATTATTGATCCGAATGTGTGTCTGTATGTACTAACACATTTTCTTGAAAGGACGCGGGTCAGACATCTCACCTCATTCCACAGGGTATGTATATATGTCTGCACGCTGTCACTCCCCACCCCTCACTCCAGCATGCGTGTGAGGGCCCAACCCTACATAACTTCCATTCTGGTCTGACTGAGAGGACGAACCCCCACTTCACAGCACAGAGAGGGACAGTGAAAGTATGTGAAAAAGAGTGTGTGAGAGAGGGAGAAAGTCCAAGGATGAGAGTTGATATCAGAGGACGGCCGATGGCGTCTTGAGCTCACACGTGTCCGAAATATTTGGACGAATGAAGATTCACGAGGTGATCCTGAGCCTGGACCCGTTGGAGAAGAGCAGGTTCTGATGTGGCTTTGTAGGAGGTGTTTGGAGAACTCTACTCGACCGACAACTTCTGGACAAACATCCTGGACTTAGAGAGGATCTACAACTTCTTATTAGCTAGAATGGGACTGGAGTTTCCACACGTCTAATGTGGATTGCTGGGTGCACAGTGCTAAGTGTGGGTATTTGTGGACGATGGGACCGCTTGAGCTTTCACACATCACAACCAGAGATTTCTCTTCCCCTGCCTTTCACATTCTTCGCTCTGAATCAACAACACATAAATAGAGTATCTGAGAGTCCCCACAAGGTGAGTAAACCCAACAGAGCGATAGGAGGGTGACCCTGCCAGAGCGACGGCATTACAGCGCACCAGCGACCTCGGTGCCCACCCACCACATATCGGACTGGAAGCTTCTACACAGTTTGAGCAAAGCTGAGTCATTCATTTATGACTGGAGAAGATTATTGATTTATGTTCCAGGACTATAACAGTGTTGTGACTTCATCTTCAACTTGAGGAGATCACACAGAGGCTGAAGTAGAGAGAGAAGCTTCTTCGTGGGGTGAGGGGAACCAGGGCTGGTTGGACTCTAACCTCCATATCATCCTCTGTTGTGCTACTGCAGACCCACAGCTCTCTGAGGCCTTGAAGGACTCACCTCTTAAATCTTGACCCCTTGATTTCTCCTGCACCCACCTGACCATGGATTCACTGGGTGGTCCGTACCTCAACAAGAAGGCCCTCTGCTCACCTCTGGGTGCTGCCCGCCTCTGCCAGTTGGCATTGGGCTGTGCTGTGATCGCCATGGTAACCCACAGTGCCGGCTACAGCGGGTCACACGGTGTGTTCTGCATGGCGGCGTGGTGCTTCTGCTTCGCCATGACGGTCGTGGTGTTCTTTCTGGATGCTACCCGTCTCCACAGCTGCCTCCCCATATCCTGGGACAACCTGACGGTCACGTGTGCGGCGTTCGCCACGCTCATGTAAGTCATGTGTTCAGGTGTAAGTCGGGGTGCCTGTACATGTCTTTGAGGTTGTATTTGCAGAAAACTTCCGTGAAGGCAGTTACACTTTTCCCTTAAAACTTCTATTTTCTTTTACAAACCAAACTTTTTGTCAGTGCAGTAGGAGTTGTTTATTTCACGTGCACTGTAATAGCAAAATATTATTATTTGATGAAGCTCAAAATTCTTTAAAACAGTGAATTAATATAAAAGACATGAAGATATAAAATAAACATTAAAAATAGTTGTAGAAACGTAATGGAAAAAATGGATGGAAATCAATCACTCTAAGTAAAACGTGAGAGGAAATAAGAGTCTGAAGAATAAGATCACTGAACAATGTCATAATATAATGAAATAATAAATTCAAGTGAAGATGCCATAAAATCATCACCGAAAACAAGTCAAATACAACATTTGACTTGAGAAGAAGGAAAAAATGCAGCAGCCAACAATACCAGGAAGTTAAGAGCTAAGAGACAAGAAGCAGTAAGTCTTGTGTTTTAAGACATTGTCTTTGTTACTGTCTTACCATTTAGTTAAGTAAGACTGACTTGTTTTACTCAAAAGAATAAGTTCATTTCACTTGCCAGTTGGATCAACGTGACAATAGTAAGTAAATCAGATTAGGATCATATTTACCCACCTTATCTTAGGCAATTATTTTTTTATTTTTTTGTTTTTTAAGTAAGACCAATGTTTCACATTTTATATTGTGGTACTGAGGAACAACCTGATTCAGTGTAGAATGTTTTTGAAAATCGTACCTGAGTTTGAGCAATACCCTGAAAAAAAGCTGTTATTACCATATTTTCATTGGTTGTTTATTTTCAAATAGAGGCAACTTTATCCCACTCTGTCCAGAAATGTATTAAAGCTGCTGTGTAATCATTCTTGTTATACGAACAGTACAGTCATTTCTTCCCTCTGGTTTGATGACATTATTTATATTTGATGACGTCATATTTTTCTGTCTCCTCCTGCAGGTATGTTACAGCTTCCGTGGTCTACCCTCTCTTCTTTGTTCGAATCGAGTGTCCCTACGCCGGCTGCAATGTCCGAGATTTCCGCATCGCCGTCACCGTCTGCTCCATCTTGGCCACTCTGGCCTACGGGGCCGAGGTGGCTCTGTGCCGAGCCAGGCCGGGCCAGGCTGTTGTGGGCTACATGGCCACCGTCTCTGGCCTCCTCAAAGTCGTGCAGGGCTTCGTTGCCTGCATTATCTTCGGAGCTCTGGCCAACGGGAGCGAGTACTCACGTTACGCTGCTACAATCTACTGCGTGGTCGTCTACGCTTTCTGCTTCGCTCTGACTGCTCTGGTGGTCATGATGACCGTGTGTGGTCGGACCAAAGCTGTGCGCTGCATGCCCTTTGACCGCTTTACAGTAGTGTGCACCCTCCTGGAAGTTCTACTCTACCTGAGTGCATCAGTGGTGTGGCCAGTGTTCTGCTTTGACATGAAATACGGGTCCCCGTGGAGACCGTCGTCATGTCCTCGGGGGAAGTGTCCGTGGGACAGCAAGGTCGTGGTGGCGGTGTTTTCTTTCGTCAACTTTGTTCTGTACCTGGTGGACCTGATCTACTCCCAGAGGATACGATTTGTCTCCTCACGTGTGCCCACTATCTCACGGGCGTAGCACCACTTTCATTTTCCATCACTGGCTCAACAAGTTTAAGTTATTCCTTTAGTTTTAGTTTATGATTTTACAAATGCAGAAACAGAAACAGAAACGATTGAGGGGGAGGAATGGATATGAGGCCCTGCACATGGCTGGTGCTGCACGTGGGACCACTGAGGCATCCAGACACCCCAAATTAAATCTGAATGTACTGTGGAATGTGAACAATGAGTTGTGCCAGTACGACCCCCTCTGCCACACCCCACTGAGGAGACACCCCATCCTGCTGACTGACCCCTTCTGCCCTCTGAGAAATTCATGGAGAACCACCACTCTCCGCAGAACAGCCAGGGCCCAATCCTCATAAAACCAGACACTTCCTGTGCTCTTGACCTGTGGCGTAACACACATTTAATTGCTATTCATACTATATTTACATTCAAAATATTATGTAGAAGTCTTGAACATTGGCAGCAAATCTGATATAGGCATCTGTGGCATCTGCAAACCCCCCACCAGCGATTTACAGACATTACCCAGGCTGCCAAAAATAAACATGAACTGTCTGCACTCATACTGGAGCTGTGAGACAGCATTTATAAGAGGCTGACATTTTTAAAGCCTCTCTACAAATTGTTACTGTCAGTCTATGATAAAAAATACAAACTATTCCAAACATCAGACAGCTCTCTCATGCTGAACGACCTAAAGTTTTAGATTTTAAGTCAGTACTCACAATTGCACAATTTGATCATGGTCAGTGTGACCCAGGAATGTTTGCCCGCGCTCACAGAATATGATTGATATGACCTGACATGTCTTTAACCAACAGGTCTGATGTAAAGAAAATCTAATTTATCTTCCATTTCCTATATTTACACTGGCAGTTAAAACAGATCTGTGTAGTTTTTGTGTATTGTCACACAAAATGATTTACACTTAAATAAGCTGTTAATTTATTGACATATAATGCTGCTCTAGTCAATATATTTTATATGATCTGTGAGTCAAATGACTGTCATGGTGTCACAACCTTAAAGAGAGTTATCACCAGACTCTGCAGCTTCTTGCGGCTCGTTGTGCAGTTACAACACACAGACTCACACCAACATAATTGTTTCACTTCAAGTTGTAGCTGTGTCTGTTGAAAATGATCTTTCATAATCAACTGTGCAAAACCTGAAAGTCACCAAACAGAATGAGTTGGCTGGTGAACACAGAGGAGAATTAAGCAGCTTTGAATAATAAACTCAGATCAGCGGCGTTCTGCTCAAAGTTTATGTGGATCTGTTGAGTCTGTGGACATGAGAGCAATTCCATTCATTTTGTTCGTCTGTGACACATAACTGTTGTTATATTATAATTATGGAATCTGTGTGGAGACAGGTTGAGATTTTTAAATGTAATGACTTCTGCAAGAGGTTATGTTTTCATAGGTGTTTGTCTGACTCCTACGTAAAAACTGCTGAACTGATTTTATTTAAACGTGGTGGAGGGTGTGGTATGGGCCAGGAAGCATTTACTTATTCAGTGGATTCCTTTAAGGAGACACATAAAGGACTTCTTTCCCTGTTGTATATGGTTTATGTATCTGATCTAACATCAGTTTTGGGTATGTGTAGGTAGGTATGTGCTCTTCTACTTCTTAACTATGACTTAAGTTTTAGTCTTACTTTTTATATTTCCACAAAAACACAATCTCCCACAATATAGAATAAAGAAGAAATGCAAGCAACTCCACACAGAAGACAAAATAAAAAACAAAACACCTGGCTATGAGGATATGAGCATGAAAACTTGAAATGTCCAGCAGACCTGTCCAACATCACATGAAAAATCATTGTCCTTGAAGAATAAACATTGAAATAGTGTCCATGTGTTAGAAGGTGTTGCATCATTCCTTCACATTTACATTCACATTCATGACTGCCACTAGCTGGGGTATATTTACAGATACAAGTACTGACGTGTTGAAACACAGACAATACACAGTGTATGTTAAAGTTGGGTTCATGCTTTCCTGAGTGAAACAATCTTCATTTATAATTGTGTCTTTCTACCTCGTCTATCAGGCGATGATCATTTTCAAGCCATCACCTCACCCAGCTCTGAAACCCCTGAAATAACAGGCCTTCTGCAAAATGTGCATGCTACAGTTAGTTCACATTGTGTTTTGAATATGCTTCCTTTTTCTTATGATTACTTTCTTCACCAGGTTCAGGTTGGGGACATGAGTCTGGTCAATTAAAGTGCAGGAACAAATGCATCATCAGACGAGTCCTCCATCATTAATTTGTGAGACAGTGTGACTTTCTATCCCATTATCCCTGCACCCTCTGTGGGTAAAGAAGGAGAGACAGAGGCCTCTTTGGCTGCCACTAGAAATAAAACAGGAGGAGATCTGATCCGCTCAGTCTATCTTTGTTCTCTTTCCCCCCATGACGATTTGTCTCCCTCTCTTTTTTAATTCAGTCACCTCCTCCTCCTCCTCCTGTTCCTCTCAATCCTCCACTCCTCTCAGCTTTGATCTCTGGTCATCTCTCTAATCCAGGATCAATGTGTTCCCCTGTCATGTCTCTGAGTGCTGTGGATGTAATATATTAAGTCCTTGGGAAGCCACTGTGCCACAGCATACGTCTACCAAACCATCTCAGTGCTCAGCAGCAAATCCAACACCAGGTGGCTCCTCTCGTATCCAAATCTGTGTTAAGACCACGAGGACGTCACTGTGCGTGATTTCAGCCATTGTCACAGTTTGTGTTAATTATTAAGTAAATACAATACAATGAACATAGAGAAAGAGCAGATGAGCAGTGGTTTAGAAGTGGATTAATACAAACTGTTGGTGATTTTTGCAGCAAAAATTAACTTTGTGCTTTTGACGTAATGTTTTTTACTTCTTGTGCGTGTCTCTTGGTTTCGGAAACAAATGAATCCTCTGATAAATCCTGCAGAACCATTTCTTTTGAAAGACAGGACAGGCTGGCGTGCGGCACCGCTCCTCCTGTACTATTCTTCAGAGTGAACGATGTTCATGCCTTGAAGAGGGTCTCTGACTGAAAGCTTGTAAATTAAACTGATGTTTGCACAAATGTGACTGCGCACAACCTTTTTTTCTCATTTTCCTCAGCCGAACCTGATGCTGGATGAGGGGTGTGTTTTTTCCTTACTCTTCTGTCTCACTGACATTTCAGCAGTGCAATTTGACAGAGCCCAGATAAATCTACTGCTGAAAGTGGTGGACAGTGTTGCCACAGAGCAATCTGTAGTTCCATCAGGGCCTGTGCACTCCATGCTCCTCTGCAGATCCCCATTTAGCAGCTGTTCCCTGTCTGGCACTCATTTTACTTCTCACTCCCTGTGGGCCTCTGTCTTAAACATAGCTGCGTTTCCACACACACACGCATCCCACGGTGTATGAACTGACAGTGATGAGCTGCGACAGGTGTCCATCACAACCGTTTCCCTCCTGATCCTCCCGCTGGGGGGGATGTGGAGGGACGGGGGACGGCTGGCTCTCTGTCCTGACTAATCTCCGATGGCACATGTTGCTGATGTCAGCTTCCCCTCACATCTCTTGACTCTTGCTTTGTTAAATGTTGTGTGAGACATCTCTGGTCCCAGAGGATTCAGATCAATGCCAGCCCTACTGGGTTTGCATCTTGTAAGAAGTGTCTGTACATAAAGCAGTACTGGTGCTGCTTTATGTACAGACTCAGCTACTTTATTGATCCCAGGGGGAAATTGTATAAAACGTTGGTTGGAATATTTAGTTTAATATTAATTCGTTTCTCAAATAAATTCTTTGATCTATTTCTGGATTTTGCTCAAACTGGTCTTTTGAATGTTTTTCTATGATCTGGAGATGGACATTTTCATTTAATGTAATTTTACACAGTTTGAGTAGATGTCAAGCATCGATCTCACTTTTGATTATTTCTCCATTTGCCTGTTGTAGCTGTGAAAGGTTAATGTGTCTATGAGTGCCTGCATGGTTCAGACTTGGGTCATTGCTGTGTGTCTTCTCCATGTTTCACACTTGTGTGGGAAAAAAAAGAAAAAACTGAAAGAATAGATTTAGAACAAAACTCAATTATATTGCTTACAATTAGTTTTTCCCCAAACACATATACCATAAAGCTTAATTGCCTAATGAAAAGGAAGCGGGACATTTCCATTAGAGGTTCAAAGTACAGAGAGGAGCAGCCTGGCAACCTGATGGTACTTAGCTACCATGTTGGTGGACGCCAGTGAACCATCAAAAAGGTGAGGAGTCAACACGTCTCCTCCTGTGACCTCCTGCTCAAAGTTCTGGCTTCTTCTACCTTCTGGTTCCCTCGACATGGTTGTGGAGTAAAGACTCTGTCAAGAAACGATGTGTTCTTTGATTGATTTAGTTCATTTCATCATCGCTCTCTGCTGCACACCTGCCGAACTCAGGATAGAGATACAGAAGTATATGACTTAATGTACAGCTTCTCTCCGAATGCTTTGGGATTTTTGAGATGTTGTGAAATACTGTGGGAAATCCTTTATTAGTTTTGGCTTTGACATGACATTGAAGGCTGACACTACGCTGGAAGCCTTAACTTCTTTTCTGCCCTTTCTTTTGTATTCCTTCTTTGCCACTCTTGTCTCAGACTGCAGGCGGGAGACGTACCAACACTCAGGAGAGATTTTCTGTCTGTCTGGGATATTAAATATGCACATCTTCTCTCACTTCGCAATACTGCTTTTTTTCTCTCTCTTGGATTTTCTCGAGCACTTTCTCGTTCTTTCACACCAAGACACAAAAACACAGCTCTGGGCCGTAATCACTGCCAGCAACAAATTGTTGTGAACGCTTCAGCAAGATCTGCCTGTCGCTGTGTGCCCAAAAGAAACAGAAGAAGAAAAAAAGAGCAAAACACAGATTTGTGAGTTCTGGTATTTTTAATAAACCTCTCGGGGTTTTGTCAATTGTCAAAAAAAGAAAGAGAGGGAATGAGTGTTGTCACGCCTCAGCACACATGCCCAAACTGAGTGATAGAACAGAGGCAGGCGGTGGTAAATTGACTGTGTGTGTATGTGTAGGCAGAGCTGCAGGGATACATCACAGACATTTCCAGCTTGTTTGAGATTAGGTTTGAAGAACAGTTTTGTGGGTAATTATTCCAAACACAGAAGCAACATGGGAAAGGCTACAGTGTGACGATACTAGCGTCATGTCCTTTGTGTCGTTTTGGGGAATTCAAAAGTTTATATTGATTGAAGGAGAAGTGGAAGATTTGAAATGTGTGAAATGATTAACTCCACCAAGGAGGTTATGTTTTCATCAGCGTTTGTTTGTTTGTCTGTGTGTGTGTGTGTGTGTGTTCGTCAACTGGATTTCACAAAAACTACTGGAGGGATTATCACGAAACTATGTACGAAACTTGGTGATTTAGGAATATTTTTGTCTACTTTCTTTAACAAAGTGATTAAACCATGGATCATGATAAAACTGTTGGACCTTGGTATGTACGCTCTGAGTGACATTCTAGTTTTTACTTTTTTAGATTTTATGGGACTGTTCCAGATATTTTGTGATGCACTTTCATAAGATGGGGGACAGATTCTAAAATAGTCTGAATTAAATCAGGAGTCACTGATATTTCCTGACTTGAAATTTCTTGTTTGAGTCTAGCCCCAAAAACCCTGGATGCTAAAATTCCCATAATGCAACTGCATCCTTGATTAGATGTCCCTCTTCTGAAAAACAACTTGCAACTTTCATTCTCCATACTTCCACTTTGAACTAATTGTAAACTTTCTGTAAAATAATGAACTGATATTAACATTCTATTTAAGAAAAAAGTCTCTGGCTGGAGCTGAGATAATAATAACCCTAAATCACTAGGGTCATTTTGTCAGAATGAACACAGAAGAGATTATATCACAGTTTTTAGGCTTATCCACCTCAATTACATAGTTGCAGTGCAGAGAATCAGCATTCACACCATCACATAAGAAGGTTAAATTGATCTATCACAGAATCCAACACTTAGAAATCCTGGCAAAGTAAATGTTGATTTTAAGGTGTTTGCATATACACCTGTAGGGAGCTAACTGACGATATGTATCAATTTGTCCAGCTAACCAAAGAGGAGCAGTATCCTCACAGCTGACGCTGCTGAAGCACAACCTCAGGCCATGCATTCTATCTAAATATAGACAGGAGGATCAGCATCCCTCCGGCGGTCCTGCAGCACTGTGAGAAGATAAATGGAATGTGGCCCCTCAGAGGAGACATATAGTACCTATACTGCGGTGTAAATTTAGTCTGGAATGGCTGAGACACATGAAAGGAAGAGGCAGACGGATGGACAAGAGGATCGCTTCTATTAAAACATGCAGAGGGCAGATTTTACCATTAAAAGCAGCAAGACGGGTCCAGGGCAGATTTTCAGAATATATATTGAATTGCTTCAGGGATAGGAGGCTAACCTGTATTCAAATGCCATGACTCATTAGTGTATCTAGGGTCCAAGTCTGCTTTATTTCAGATTCTGTCAAATCTAAGGGGGAGAGGAAGAAGTATTCGTCTACAGTCTCCTGTTAGAATAACAATCCTTCATTCAAATTCAGGCTTTTCTGGTTCCATGAAATGTTTTTGGGATTCAGGTTTGAATATCAGTGTATTTGCATTCTCAATGATCAGCTCTGAGCCTGGACTTGGGTTATTCATGTGGATGATTTAGTTTGTAGGGATGTGAAAATGTAATATGATGTTTTTATGTGCGAAGCCTCGAGAAGACTTATGATGTATCATAAAAACTGCACCTGTACTAATATTGTGGCTGCTTGTCTTTACATGATTTTACAAGGCAAAATATAACCAACATCATATAAAGAGGTAAGTGCTGAAAGCCTGTTATTACCCTATTATTCTGCACTTTCAAAATAATATTTTGGCATAACGCTAAAGCATGAGGCATGGAGACAAGTGTAACATGGAGAATATTCATATGATGTGTCTGTTGTAAAGTCTTGTCCTTGCATCTTCATCAGGTAGTTCTCTTAGCACATAGTAAAGAAAAATTAAGTACTACTTGAGTAGATTGGTAATGAGCTGCTATTATTCCCTTTGATTATTATTGAGTCATTAAGAAATTGTAGCTCCTTTTTCAATTTGTATGTTGTATGTATGTTTCATAAACCAGTTGTGTGTTTTGCAGTTGCATGGAGTAAAAAATATTAAATGCTCCTCTTAGTGGACTATTGAAGTTTAAATTAGCATCAAATGGAAATAAAATACACCAAAACAGTACTCAGATATAATGATGTACAGTATTGAGTAAATATACTGAAAAAGATGGCCCACAGAGTATTCACACTTCACCTGATCCATCCCCTCTTTGACGATGTATTTACCATGATTGATTACCTGGTAGATTATTGATTACCAGCAAATACTGTGGGTTACTCATTCAGAAAATCTTGCTTCATATGCTTACATGTTGGATATCCTCATGATTTTGTGTATCTCTACGTATCATGTGAACATAAAACGATACACATTTGTATGTAATCAGTGTGTGTTAAACTATTTATACAAGTCTTTCCAGCCCACAGCAATAAGACCTGCAATTCCCACCTCTGATAGTACTTACTAGTAATTACTGCTGCAATAACTGTCAATTTATTATATTATATTCATGCTCATTTTACAACATACAGTCATATTAATTATTTTAGTCATGTCAAACAAGTACTGCAATTTTGCACCTTGCCTCTTTGTGTTCTTGCTCATGTCCTTGACCTGCGGCTGTGACATAACAGTTTCCCAACTGGAATCAATAAAGTTCATCCAATCTAATTTAAAAAGAAGAGTTTAACAACTTGTGATAAATAATGACGAGAACTGGATTGTGATAATCATCAATACAGAACTTTTATATCTTGATATAATATTTAAACTCGTCCTTGCAGCCATGATTCAGGCGGTGTTCCTAGGTGGATCAACAGCATCTGGCTGTCTGCTGACTCCAGTCGCTCGGACCAGTCCGTGTTGACTCAGTCAGATGTGGGATGAATAGATGTTGTATCAACATGACTTACCTAACCCTTCTGATCTGATCTGCCTGCATGATCCCACACAACTGATGCAACCTGTAAGACCCGCCCTGATTCTACAATCTAGTTCTTCATTGGTCAGACGCTCAGGCTGCCCCTGCCGTGATTGGCCAGTGTCGCTGCTCGTTGCAAGTGAAAGAGTGCCGCGGGGACAGAGGAAGCCACGTTGACACCGAAGTGTTTCATGGTGGAGGTTTCGTGTGTCTGCCCTCGGGAGGTAACGGTCACGTCGACGGGTAACATCCGTGAGCTCCACTGAAACATCCAGGGAAAGGTAACGACCACGGTGTAATGTTATTGTGTCGCTTTTATCAGCTAGCACAGCGGCTAGCTAGCACAGCCGCTAGCCCAGGACAGGTGGAGGTTAGCTAGCTACACTGTGCTAACATCCAGATTCATCGGACTGAGCTAGTTATCACTCTGAAGACACTAACAATGGGAAACCAGCACTGACTGAAATGATACTCTGGTAGTGTTGGTTAGTAAAGGTACAAACTCAGCTTCTCACTCAGATGGGAAACAAAGCTGTCATGTTCCTAAGTGACATTTAATGGAGTCTCCCACTGAAACAGACTGAGCTGACCATTATCATAAAGCAGTGATTCCACCAGGGTGTTTCATCATCCTCCACCCTCTCTGGACCTACTGCAGGATTTTCCTCCACAAAGTCTGTCTGTGTGCTTTTAACAAGTCAGAGCTGGATACACAAGTAAGTCCAGGCTACTGAAGTACATGACTGTCACTACCAGCTTCTTTGATTTGCAGGACAGAGACGCCAGCACATCTGACAGGATGAGTGTTGGATTCATTGGAGCAGGCCAGCTGGCCCATGCCCTGGTGAAAGGGTTCACAGCTGCAGGTGAGGTTACTGTCTTTATTATGCAAGCTCCACCATGCACTGAAACTATTACCTTACATCAGCCATGTTTGACCAGGAGAACACTTGTCAATTACTGCTTATATCAATACCCATATTGTGTAGAAATGTT